CTGTCACCGAGTCTTGGCTTTCCATGCCTGAAATGCTCTCACAGGCCTTTCAGCCACACCTGGAAGCCTGAAGGGTTGATTCTGAGGTCAGAGTGTTATTTACAGCGATTGTCATTCTAGGAGTCTGCTGTATGGACTGCTTCCCATATTGGACTTTCCTTCCTTTTTAATCCTAGATTACTTAAAATACATCATAAAATGCAACGCTACTGTGAAAGAAAATGAAGTAACTAAGGATAAAGGCTTTCTAAAAAAGGATCAAGATATCTCAAGAGATCTCACTCAGGGCCGGTGCTGTGGTGTGGCGGATAAAGCCTCCACCTGCAGTGCCGGCATCCCATGTGGATGCTGGTTTGAGTCCCGGCTGCTCCACTTCCAATCCAGCTCTCTGCTATGGCCTGGGAAAGCAGTGGAAGATGGCCCAAGTCCTTGGGCCCCTGCACCCACGTGGGAGACCTGGAGGAAGCTCCTGGATCCGGATCAGCGCAGCCCTGGCTGTTGCAGCATTGGGGAGTGAACCATCAGATGGAAGACCTCTCTCTCTTCTCTGCCTCTCCTTCTCTAACTCTGACTTTCAGATAAATAAATAAATCTTTTTTTTAAAAAAAGAATTTTTGTTGAGACAATTAATTGTCTTTGAAAAACACTGTGGAAATTCCCCACTTTAAAAACCCTTCCTTATTTGCCTTATGGAATATTACTCAGGGCTGCCCTGATCCAGTGTATCAAAATTGCAACTCTTGCTTCTCAAATAAATAGTATTTTCATTAACCTCTGTGTCAATCTTTTTCTCTTCTTTTCCCTCCATCCCTTCTTCTCTCCTTCCTTCCTTCTTTAGGTTAATACTCTATAAATTGCTATGCTGCATTATTTAGGAAATAATGACAAGAAAATAAAGTATGTATATGTTTAGTAAGTATGAATTTTTTCCCCCAAATATTTCAGACCTGTGGTTAGTTGACCTGAAGATACTGAACCCTTGGGTACAAAGGACCATCTGTACTAAAAACAATAAATTCTTAAACAGAAAACAGATCATTTTCTTTTCTTTTTTTTAATTTTTTGACAGGCAGAGTGGACAGTGAGAGAGAGACAGAGAGAAAGGTCTTCCTTTGCCGTTGGTTCACCCTCCAAAGGCCGCCGCGGCCGGCGCGCTGCGGCCGGCGCACCGCGCTGATCCGATAGCAGGAGCCAGGAGCCAGGTGCTTTTCCTGGTCTCCCATGGGGTGCAAGGCCCAAGCACCTGGGCCATCCTCCACTGCACTCCCTGGCCACAGCAGAGAGCTGGCCTGGAAGAGAGGCAACCGGGACAGAATCCAGCGCCCCGACCGGGACTAGAACCCGGTGTGCCAGCGCCGCTAGGCGGAGGATTAGCCCAGTGAGCCGCGGCGCCGGCCGAAAACAGATCATTTTCTAGAAAAAAACCACAAGCAACTGAAGTCTCACACAATGAGGCAGATAATCAGAAAAATCCTACAAGTTGTCTGGGTACCTAAATTAATAATTTTAAATGTCCCAATATAATCTCTAGGCCCATATTATTTCACTGAATTCTACCAAATGTTTAAAAAGTAAATTAACACTAAATCACAATCTCCTCCAAAATAACAGAAGAGAATGGAACACTTCCTAATTCTTTTTAGGAAGTTAGCATTACTCTGATGTCAAACTAGACAAAGGCAGTACAAAAAAGAAAATTACAAACCAATATCCTTCATGAATATTGACACCAAAATACCAAAATACTTAACACAACAGAACTTAGAAATAACATATAAAAAGAATCACTATGACAAAACAGTTTATACAAAGTTGGCTCGATACTTTAAAACTAATCACGTTTGTCATATAAAATCACCATGTTAACAGGCTGGAAAAGTACATAATCATACCAACTGACACAGAAAGCATACAACTAAAGTCAACATCCATTGCTAACTAATAAAAACATAAAACTCAGAGCAAAACTTCCAAAATCTGACAGAGTATTTAAAAACAATGGAAGAATGAACGCTTTTCCCTTATGAAAGGAGCAATGTAAGGATGTTCTCTTACCACTCTGAGTTTGTAGGGTTTTTTTGAATTTTTGACAGGCAGAGTGGACAGTGAGAGAGAGAGACAGAGAGAAAGGTCTTCCTTTGCCGTTGGTTCACCCTCCAATGGCCGCCGCACCGCGCTGATCCGATGGCAGGAGCCAGGAGCCAGGAGCCAGGTGCTTTTCCTGGTCTCCCATGGGGTGCAGGGCCCAAGCACCTGGGCCATCCTCCACTGCACTCCCTCGCCACAGCAGAGGGCTGGCCTGGAAGAGGGGCAACCGGGACAGAATCTGGCGCCCCGACCGGGACTAGAACCCGGTGTGCCAGCGCCGCTAGGCGGAGGATTAGCCTAGTGAGCCACGGCGCCGGCCTCTTACCACTCTTATACAACACAGTGCAATGTTCTAGCATGAAATACACAAACATAGTCAATAAAGGCATTTTTGTCCTTATTTGAAGATAACATGATTGTTCACATAGAAAACCACTAATAATCCCCTCCCAAAGTTCTAGAAATAATAAGTAAGTTCAGAAAGGTCATAGAATGTAAGATAAACATAAATTAACTGTATTTCTGGATACTAGCAACAAACACATGAACACTAAAATTAAATATATAACACCACTCACAATCACTCAATAAAGCAATTAAATACCTAGGTATAAACACAAAAAAGGTATATAGGACTTCCATGCTGAAAACTATACAATGTTGATGAAAGGAATCAAAAAGGATTTAAATGAATAGGAAGAATGAATACAGTTAAGATGGCCATCTGAAATTGACACAGTTAATGCAATTTCTATCAAATTCCTAAGCAGGATGTTTTTCTACAGATTTACCCAAAAATTTATCTGGAAAAACAAATACAATACCTAAAAGCAATTTTGAATACTGAAAATAAAGTAATGAGAAATGAATCTGCCCAACTTCAGACTTACACAGCTACAGTCAAGTCTGGTATTACAAAGGAATACACACTGTGGTGCAGCGGGTTAATGCCCTGGCCTGAAACGCCGGCATCCCATATAGGCGCTGGTTTAAGACCGAGCTGCTCCACTTTCTATCCAGCTCTCTGCTACGGCCTGGGAAAGCAGTGGAAGATGGCCCAAGTCCTTGGGCCCCTGCACCCACGTGGGAGACCTAGACGAAGCTCCTGTGTCCTGACTTTGGATCAACGCAGCTCCAGCCATTGCGGCCAATTGAGGAGCGAGCCACCGGATGGAGGACCTCTATGTCTCTCCTCTCTCTGTGTAACTCTGACTTTCAAATAAATAAATAAATAAAGGAATACACAGGTAGATCAATAAAAAAGAATGGAGAACTCAGAAACAGATTCACACGAATATATTCAAATGATTTTTGAGAAAGGTGCGAAAGCAATGAAAAAAATAGCCTTTTCAACAAAAGGTATTGTAACAATAGAATATACATAGGGGACGGTTCAATTTAAACAAACTATACAACTTTTATTTTTTAAAAAAAAACTTACATATTTGAAAGGCAGAAAGAAAGAGAGAGAGAAAGAAAGACCTTCCATCCACTGGTTCACTTCTCAAATGCCTGCAACAGGTCAGGGTTAGGCTAGGATGAAGCCAGCAGTTGGAAATCCATCTGGTCTCCCATATGAGTGCCAGGGACCAAAGTACTTGATCCATCACCTGCTGCCTTCAGGGTACATTAGTAGGAAGCTGGACTGGAAGCGGAGGTGGGACTGATCCCAGGCACTCCAATGAGAAATGTGCAAATCCCAAACTGCCACTTAACCTGCTAACCCTTACAACTTGTATTTAAAAAAATAAGTTGTAAGGTGGGGGAGGGAGATAAAATCTTTAAGAACTAGAATAGGGAAGACATTCTTAGATTTAACATCAAAAGAATGATCCAGGAAAAACTGATAAATTGGACTTGATCAAAATTAAATACTCTGACTCTATGAAAGACACTATTAAGAAATTGAAAACTACAGACTGAGACAGAACATACTTGCAAACTACGTATCTGACAAACATCTGCTAAGTTAATGGCTGCCAGGGACAAAGGAGGGGTAGGAGAGAAGTAATGGTTATAGAACAGCAACAAGAGGGATCCTTGAAATCCATGGAAATGTTCTGTGTCTTAACAATCAGCATCGTGGTTGTGATAATACACTGTAGTTTTTGTAAGCTATTTGCAGTGGAGGAAACTGCATAAAGGGTCAAGACAATTTCTCTCTCACCATAATATTCCTAACAGCATATGAACTTATAACTACCTCAAAATAAAGCCAGAAACCACATATTCAAATACGTAATACCTGAGCCTCAATCAAACACATTTGCTATTGAATTATTAAATGTTAAATTTAAATTTCCACTTTAAGTATGAATGACTTCAAAGACTGACAATTCTAGAGTTACTAGTAAAAGACTAATGATTACAACTTAAAAACAAAAATCCACAGTTCTACAATAATAAATTATCAATAGAAATCTCTGAACTTGAGGCCTAATTCAAGCTGCTCTGGCAAAAAGCATAAATTTTTAAAATAAATTATGAATCCTATGAGTTAATGTGTATCTTCTACTAGCTTCCTTACTAAATTCTTCATCTCCAACATTCAGACCAAATGATTCTAGAAGGTAATGGAATGAAGCTCATTGAGCTACTATGATAAATCTAAGAAAACGCCTATCCATTACTGCTTACACTGGTATTTCTTGGCCTTCCAGGCTTTAACCCACTGAGAAAAAATATTTGAAATTAAACTACTTGTTTTCCATCTCTTTCACAAGTTTCCAACTTCCTCAAGAATTACTCAAAGTTTAGAGCAAAAAGAAATGTTCAGACAAAGCCCATTTAAAAAGGATCCCAGCTAAAACACACGAATTTGAATTTGGTCTCAAATACCTCAGCCTTTCCTTTAAAATGCCTAAAATTTACTCCTGTAACATTTAAAGAAAAAAAAAGGGCTATGTTCTTACAAATGATTTGTTCATGGCACGTTTCACTTCATCAGAACCATCTGAATAAATCTGCTGAAATAATTTATTTAAAGCTGCATCTCCCTCCAACTTCTCATTCTTTTCTTCTTCTTTGATCTCACCAACCAATTTATCCCAATTTCTTGTATAATGAGATGATGATGGATATAGGTTCTTTACATCTACAAAGTAAAAAAGGCAGAAATGATTAATCAACATGTTTTTGATTATGTCAAATTAGGTATGTAAACTTTGTGTTCATGGTATACACAGTATCTCAGAAATAGTTCAGGGCTCTGAATTTCATGTTTGCAATAAATGTCTTTTTGATATATAGATCAATAACCAGATTTACACTCTACACACTGAATCAGTTAGCATAATGCAAAATCTGGGAATTTCTTTTGAGTAAAGTAACTCAATAAGTGTTAACTTTTGGCACACTATACAAAATTATATTAAAAGCATTTTTCATGTTAATAATAGGAAAAACTAGGAAAGGATATAGGAAATTTTGAACTTACAGAAAAGTTACAATGGTAATACAATTCTTTTTTAAAAAAGGATTTATCTATTTATTTGAAAGGCATAGATATGGAGAGAGAAGGAAAGAGAGAGAGAGAGAGAGAGATCTTCCATCTGGCTGATCTATTCCCCAAATGGCTGCAATGGCCGGCATTGGGCCAGGCAAGAACCAGGAGCCAGGACCTTCTTCCAGATCTCCCACATGGACGCAGGGACTCAAGCACTTGGGCCATCTTCTGCTGCTTAGCCAGGCACATTAGTAGGGAGCTGGATTGGAAGTGGAACTGCCGGAACTCAAAATGATGCCCACATAGGATACCAGCACAGCAGGAGGCTTAACCCTCTATGCCACAGCACTGGCCCCAGTAGAAACAATACTAACAAGTCTCATTGTTTTTTTTGTTTTTTTTTTTTTGTTTTTTTTTTTTTTAAGATTTATATATTTATTTGAAAGGCAGAGTTACAGAGAAGCAGAGGTAGAGAGACAGAGATCTTCCATCCGATGGTTCACTCCCCGGCTGCAATGGCCGGAGCTGGAGTGATCCGAAGCCAAGAGCCAGGAGCTTCCTCCAGGTCTCCCACACAGGTACAGTGGCCTAAAGACTTAAGCCATCTTCTACTGTTTTCCCAGACCATAGCAGAGAGCTAGATTAGAAGTGGAGAAGCCAGGACTCGAACCAATGCCCACATGGGATGCCACACTGCAGGCGGTGGCTTTACCCGCTATACCACAGCGCCAGCCTCAAGCCTTATTCTTTTAAAAAGATGTTTAAGAACTCTCTTATACATAATATTTTAATGTTAAATATGTGGCTTTTTCTGAGGTACTTACATATCCTTCAGATTAGAAATAAAACTAAAAATATTATCACTGATGCCATTCAACAGCCAAATTAAGACTCCATCATTTTCCCATATAAAAATACAGTTGTTAAGATTACTTCAAGAGGAGACAAAAATAAGGAATTTCTGAATGCTGAAAATACTACACTTGACGATCCAGAGGCTCAATGCCCACACCACACATAAATTTTACATACAAATAATTAAAAAGTAACTGCTATTAACAGCAGCTCTATTCACTGTCTCATGAAAATATAACAGTGGCCAAAAATGTAGGCCACATACAATGTAGAAAATTTTAGATGCTTAGTAATTAAGAATTAGGTGAAATGCATTAATGTTTTTTATTTAATGCAATACATCAAAATTAGTATTTCTAGGGGCCAGCACTGTGGCATAGTAGGTTTATTAAGCCTCCTCTGGGGTGCTGGCATCCGTTATGGGCAATGGTTCGTGTTCCACCTGCTCTTCTTCCAATCCAGCTCCCTGCTAATGGCCTGGGAAGGCAGAGGAAGATGGCCCAAGTGCTTGGGCCCCTGCACCCACATGGGAGAACTGGAAGAAGCTCCTGGTTACTGATTTTGGATCAGCTCAGCTCCAGACGCTGCAGCCATTTAGAGAGAACCAGTGGATGGAAGACCTCTCTCTCTCTCCCTCTCTAACTCTGCCTCTCAAATAAATAAAGAAATCTTTAAAAAAAATATATATAGTACTTCAGGGCCAACATTGTGGTACAAGTTAAGCTACCTCCTGTGACACTAGCATCCCATATGGGTGCCAGTTGGAGTCCCAGCTGTACTACTCCCAATCCAGCTCCCAGCTGATGTGTCTGGGAGGCAGCAGAAGATAGCCCAAGTCCTTGGGTCCCTGCTACCCATGTGGAAAACTAGGATAGAGTTCCTGGTTCCTGGCTTCATCCTGGCCCATCCCTAGCAGTTGTGGTCATTTGCAGAGTAAACCAGCAGATGAAGATCTCTCCGTCTCTCCCTCTCTCTTTAACTCTGGTTTCAAATAAATATATTTTTGATTTAAAAAAAGTTATCATTTCAACATGAAATCAACAGAAAAATCTTGAGATTTTTATATTATTTTTGTCACACTAAATCTTCAAATTCTTGTATATACTTTACACTTACAGCATGCTTCAATATAGCTACAGGTACACAACAGGTCCATTTGGCAGTTACTGTATTGGACAATACAACTACAGAGCTTTAAATAAAACACCAGACTCTTAATTTCCATCAGTACAAAAATATTCCTCCTCCAAAACTGCCCCTCTATAAACTTGCTTTCTTCAAACTACATTAGAAAGTTCTAAAACACTATTCTGTTCCTTCATCCTTTCTCTCTACCTGTAACCCAACTTTCTCCCTAGCCATTCTTCATTAAAGCAACATAAAACAATCCAACACTGCCCAATTTTATTCAGTAAAGTATATTGTTTTGAAAATCCTATCACTATTTCTCTAATAGAAATTCCATCTTTGTACATTTTAAGTAGTAGCCAAAAAAAACAAACAAACAAACAAAAAAAAAAACTGCATGCCAAAATATGTTAAGAGCCTGGGAAACATGGATTTAATTAATCCTAACACTGACTTATAGAAATGTTGGGAATAGAGGTTTTAATCTCCATTTTACAGATAAGAAAGCCAGCCCAGATAGGTTAAGTGATTTGCCCTTATCTACAGTCTCCAGCTTGCAGTACCCAAGAAACCTGACAAGCATATTAATTCCTTACGAAAATATAACAGGACAGGAGGAATAGCATCTTAAAAATCTAAGATGCTTGCTTAAAAAAAAAAAAACTGTAACAAAATGGTGAAGACCCTGTGCCCATGGTGGCTGACTACTAGAGGTGAGTGAAGTAGCTTCCTTGCTCATTCACAAACTGCAAAGATTGCTAAATAGTTGCAAATGTACTCACCTAAGCAGAGACTGGTCCCCTTATTAGAAATGACTCAAGAAGCAGTATTCCAGAAAAATCAGACTTAGACTGTGAAAACCTAGATTTTAGTCTTAGACAATGAAAACTGTTGGGGTGATCTTGAGCAAGCTGCTTATGTTTTCTGGGCTAGTAAAATAAAAGGAATACTATTTGACTGCTTGCTTATAAAGTTGTAGTTGGGACTGAATGAGATATTACATGAAGTGACTTTTTAAAAAATGCTTTGAGTTATATATAAACCTAAGCCTGAGAATCTCTGGGAGTTAGTCCTAAAAGAAGCATGTAACATCTTTACTAGCCTTTCAAATAAAGTATAAAGCAAAAATGACAATTAAATACCTAAAGTACCATCTGGAACTATTTCACTCCTTAAAAATTATCTAGAGCCAAAGAGCCAAGATGTTGGCTGAGTAAAAGGGTCCACCTCCTGCAGACACACTGATGTGACTAGGTATATACACACCACCAATTTGCCTTCACAGGAGCTATCAAAGTCAGGTGAGAGGTCACAGTACTCCAGCATGTTATAATCTTAAGTTTCTGAAGAAAGCAAGTAAAGTTGTCTGCTGTACCCCTCCCCCAACTCCAAGGAGTTCAACCTGTTGACACCTCTGGTTTGGGAGAGAGCGAGCAAATTGAATCCCAGTATCAGGCCCCCTGCAAAAACATTCATTCAGACTGAAGCCACCTGCCCCTATATCCAGGCCTGTACTAGTAGAATGAATATTGGGAACTGCCACAGCCAGATGCCATAGCCCTGCCACTCTTGTACCAACTACCCACATAAAGCAAAACTCCAGCCCCATGGGGGCCAGAGAGAGATCTTGGGCGCACACACTGGGACCCGCAGCTGGATCTGCCATGCTTGAGACCTGGCATCTGAGAAAGCCAAAAGCCCTTGTTCCCCTTCTGTGTTCACAGACAGAGCCTCCAGACTAGCCTGGCATAAGGCAGACACCTGCACTCGAGTAGGTGGGACTCATTTTGGCGTGTGCCACTGTCAGTCTTTGGTGGGCCGAGAGAGTAACCCCAGATTCTGTGGGGCTCAGGGACTATAGGACCCAGGTGTGACCAGCCAGGGGCCGATCTGGGCAGGACTACCTTTATCTCCTCCTCCAACCTTGAGCAGACAGCCAAAGACCAAGGCATTGTGTCTTAGAAATCAGTGCTGTGCTGGTAAAGCCCAAAGCTGGACAGATTCTAATGGTTTCCAACCCCAGGCCAGCGCCTGTAGATGGAGTCTATGTATTTGCTCCATTATTGGACAAAGACCTGCACTTGTTTCGGTGTGTAGCAATACCAGCCTCTCCTTGCTGGTGTGTACCCTCCTTAGGATTGCATGGTATCTGGTGACTCTAAGAACCAAGGGTGCCCGCCTAAGGCCTATCTGAATAGTTATATTCCACTCCTCCTAAAACCTTGGGCAGACACCAGGAATCACTTGACTATTTTGGAACTCAGTGACAAGCTGATAAAACCCACCACTGAGCAGATTATAATGGTCCCTGTCCCCAGGCAATAACTACAGATAGAGTCTCTGGCCCTGTTTCAGTACCCAGCGGAGTTCTGTGGTCTTGGCTAACCAGTCTTCTAACCCAGCCAGTATCATCAATGGCTAACAGGTGCAACCTAGAGTAGTGAACCCACCTTGGCAGCAGAACAGACTACTTAGAAAAAGCCAGATTACTAAAACGTATCCTTCAATACAGACAATGTCGTACTCCAATAGGCATCAGGAATTTTCAGGGAACCATGATTCTCCTTAACAGCAAAATAAGGTGTCAGAAACCAACCACCTAGGAATTAAATTCTCCAAATGCTCAGATGAAGATGTCAAAACAGCTGTTTTAAGAAAACTCAACAAAATCCAAGAGAACACACAAAATAATGATTTAATGCTCTGACAGAGATTTAATAGATGGAAGTAATTAGACAAAAGCAAGAAATCCTTCAACAGAAAAATACTAAGTGAAATAAAAAAATGTGAAAAAAGCATCAATAAACAGAACAGAAGAGATACATGTTATTTGAAAATACACAGTTCGAGGAGAAAAAATAATCAAGAGAAGTAAGCATATGGGAAATATGATATAGCATGAAAAGATCAAGTATTTGAGAAACTGGGAATCCTAAGGACTTGGAGAATGCCGAGAATGCCAAAGGGGTACAAAGCATATTGAAAGAGATAAACTTGGCCGGCGCTGCCGCTCACTAGGCTAATCCTCCGCCTGAGGCGCCGGCACCCGGGTTCTCGTCCTGGTTGGGGCACAGATTCTGTCCCGGTTGCTCCTCTTGCAGTCCAGCTAGCTCTCTACTGTGGCCCGGGGAAGGCAGTGGAGGATGGCCCAAGTGCTTGCGCCCTACACCTGCATGAGAGACCAGGAGGAAGCGCCTGGCTCCTGGCTTCGGATAAGTGCAGCGCGCCAGCCATAGCAGTCATTTGGGGGGTGAACCAACGGAAAAAAGGAAGACCTTTCTCTCTCTCTCACTGTCTAACTCTGCCTGTCAAAAAAAAAAAAAAAAAAAAAAAGAGAGAGAGAGAGAGAGAGAGAGAGAGAGAGAGAAACTTTCCAAACCTAGAGAAAGATATAATTATCAAGGTACAAGAAGGTCAAAGGTCACCAAATAGATCCAACCAAAATAAACCTACCCTAAGACATGCAGCTCCAAGGTTAACAATCAACAGAGGATTCTCCAAACTGCAAGAGTAAAGAAGCAAATAGCACATAAAGAGGTCCCCAATTGGCATGACTGTACACTTCTCACAGACCAGGGAGAAATGGGATGAGATTTTTAAAGTACTGAAGGAAAAAAAAAATTGCCACCTAGGAATACTATATCCAGCAAAGCCATCCTGCAGATATGAGGGAGAGAGAAAGACACTCCCAGACAATAAAAGCTGAGAGAATTTATCACTACCAAAACTATGCTACAAGAAATATTAAAAGAGAATTCTTTATACCAAAAGGAAGGGGCATTAATATGAAAAAAAAATCAGAAGGTAGAAAAATCACTGGTAATAGTAACTATCCAGCAAATTCAAAATGCTCTAATACAGTACACATGGTATGTAATTTATTTATCTTTACTGTGAAGACTTAATAAGTCAAAAATTAATACACCAAAATGTTGAGATAGGAAATACGCAAAGTTAAATGTAACGGCAAAAATTCAAAATGTGGGAGAAACAGATTCACACAGCCAGCACCATGGTATAGCAGGTAAAGCCACCGCCTGCAGTGCCAGCATCCCATACAGGCGCTGTTTCGAGTCCCGGCTACTCCACTTCCTAACCAGCTCTCTGCTATGGCCTGGGAAAGCAGAAGATGGCCCAAGTGCTTGGGTCCCCCCACACATGTATGGGAGACCCAGAAGAAGCTCCTGGCTCCTGGCTTCAGATCAGCTTAACTCAGGCTTGGCTCTGGCCATTGCAGCCATCTGAGGAGTAAACTAGCAGAAGGAAGACCTCTCTGTCTCTCCCTCTGTCTGTTAACTCTGCCTCTCAAATAAATAACTCTTTAAAAAAAATACACAGATTTAGAGATAAAAAGGAAACATTACCATTGACACCACAGAAAAACAAAAGATGGTTAAGAGACTTCTACAAACAATTCCAAGGCAGCTAATTTAATAACCTAGAAGAAACAGACAAATTCTTGGACAAATATCAAATCCAGACACAGAATTCCTAAACACTGGAATAATAAGTAGCAAGATTGTATCAGTAATAAAAAATCTCCCATTATGGGGCCAGCGCTGTGGCACAGCGGGTTAACGCCCTGGCCTGAAGTGCTGGCATCCCATATGGGCGCCGGTTACAGTCCCAGCTGCTGCTCCACTTTCTATCCAGCTCTCTGCTATAACCTGGGAAAGCAGTAAAAGATGGCCCAAATCCTTGGGCCCCTGTACCTGTGTGGTACAGAGGAGACCCGGAGGAAGCTCCTGGCTCCTGATGGGCACAGCTCTGGCTGCTGCAGCCAATTGGGGAGTGGACCAGCAGATGGAAGACCTCCTTCCTTCCCTCCCTCTTTCCCTCCCTCCCTCTCCCCTCTCCCTTTCTCTCTCCCTCCCTCTCCTCTAACTCTGACTTCCAATAAATAAAATCTTTAAAAAAAAAAAACTCCCATCAAATAAAAACTCAATACCAGATAGCTTTGCTACTTAACTCTACCAAACATTTAAATTATTTTTAAAAATAGATGAGAGGCCGGTGCCGCGGCGCCAGCATTCCGGGTTCTAGGCCCGGTTGGGGCGCCAGATTCTGTATTGGTCGCTCCTTTTCCTGTCCAGCTCTCTGCTGTGGCCAGGGAGTGCAGTGGAGGATGGCCCAAGTGCTTGGGCCCCTGCACCCCATGGGAGACCAGGAGGAAGCACCTGGCTCCTGCCTTCAGATCAGCGCGGTGCGCCGGCCGCTGCGGCCATTGGAGGGTGAACCAATGGAAAAAGAAGACCTTTCTCTCTGTCTCTCTCTCTCACTGTCCACTCTGCCTGTCAAAAAATAAAAATAAAATGAAAAAAGAGATTAATCATCATGATGAAGTGAGATTCATTCCAAGAATGCAAGGGATGGTTCAACAGGCAAATCAGTAACAGTGATACACCACATAAACCACATCATCAAAATGAGCAAAATCACAAGATCATTTCAAATGATGCACAAAAGGCATCTGATAAATTTCAACATCACTTCATGATAAAACTCTAATCCAATTATGTGTAAAAGCAACATAGCTCAACATAATAAAGGCCACATATATAGATAACAACCCAACAGCAAACATCATATTGAATGGAGAATAAACTGAAGGCTTTCTTTCTTAAAATCTGAAAGACAAGGATGTGGGCCCACCTTCTTCACTTTTATTCAACACCGCACTAGAGGTCCTAGCTAGAGCACAGCCATTGTAGAAAATTGTGTGAGGCTTTCCCAAACACTAAAAATGGAACTACCATCTGATATGACTTATCAATCCCACTCCTGAGTATATATCCAAGGGAAATAAAATCCATCATTTATTGAGGGACATGAGTACTCCTATGTCTTTGGCAGCAGTATTCACAAGAACTCCAAAACAGAAACAACATAAATGTCCATTAACTGATAACTGGATAAAGAAAATGTGATAAATAAATACATGCCAGAGTTTTACTTAGCCATAAAACAGGTGAAACCCTGTCATTTGCAACAGCAAGGATGGCACTGAATATAATTAAGTGAAATAAGCCAAATAGAGAAAGATAAATATCACATGACGTTAACTATATAGAGTAAAAAAAAAAAAATGCAATCACGGTTAACAGAGACTGGAGAGGGAGAGGAGAGAGAACTGGGAAAGATTAATTGATGGGTACTAGGTTATAGTTAGACAGGTCCAAGAAGTACTATGGTTCTATCGCAACAGTAAGGTAAAGACAGATAATGTTATCTTACTGTATGTTTCTCTGTTAAAAAAAACTACAAGACAATCATTTTGGGTATTTTCATTACAAATGTTAATGCTTGAAAGGATAAATATATTTAGCTTGGCTGGACATTACATACGTATACATGTAATGGAGTATCACATGGTACCCCATCAATATGCACAAGTTTTATGTCTATTACTTTTTAAAATATATATATTAAAAATTACCTGTTAGTATCAATTTCCTAGCTTTGCTAATTATACTACAGCCCAGCTAAGACATTATCATCAGGCAAATCAAGTGAAGGGTACATGGGAAGTCTCCTACTTTTACAACCTCTTTGAATCTAAAATTATTTCTAAATTAACTAAACATAAATGACCTGTTGAATAACTCACTGTTTTCTAAAAGGTGTCATAAGTAAAAGTGTTTTCTGTTACAGAAGAAAGCAGTCAAAATCCAAGAGTAGCTGAGACACAATATTAGCTTCTTTCAGTCATCAAATTAGCATTAGCTGTAGTAAACCAAAAAGAAATTTCTCTCCATTCATTAACGAAACTGTAACTGTAATGTGCAATGGTATGTCGTAGTTCTAAGAGTATCCTGTTGATTAGTCATTCCACTAAACAAATGCTTATGTGCTGATTGCTTAGAACTGACCTCGACGCAAAGTTGCCAAGCCCTTGAGGGGTTCAATTATCAATCCTAGTTTTCTACTCTTCTAGGCTTTTCTTAGGCACTCCATTACCTGTTTTGTGTCCATTTCTAAATCAGCAATACAGTGAAATGGGCCAGATACTTTATTCTGTAAAGCTCTGAAATTCCAAGAAATTATAGTCACAATATCAAAAGAAGGAACAGAAAGGAATAAAGGAACAGGAAATATATCAGCAGAGTAAATTAATTCAAACCCAACAGGAAAGGCTAACACACAAAAATAACCTTCAACTAATGTCATAAAACTGACACAGTGAATAATAAATCCCAGCTCCCTCTGGGATTTTGCTGCCATTCATTCCTACTCTTAAGAATTTAAGAAGTTAGAACCTTTATAAGAAAGGCTATTTACTTTGTATCCATTACAAAGCAACCTTATCACGGGAACATAAAGAAAGAAAGTAGAAAGAATGCTCATTACTATTTAACGTCAACTATAAAATACAGTATAGTATAAGTTTAAAGCTCATTAAAGGCCAGAACACAAACCTGCTATGAACTGTTTTGGTTTAGGCATATCTCCTTGTCCCTCTAGCTTTTCCCATCTCACAGCCTCTGGCTTTTTCATTTTAATTTCAATCTGGAAGAAACAACAAAAAAATCCATTATTCAACGTAAAATATATAGAATTTAAAAAATTAAACCGCACAAAATTTTTGTAAGATAGTGCCTTTGAGTTTCTTTAAATTACACAAGACTAAATTTGAAGAACTATAAAACATTTCTATACTTAAGTCACCCTTTCATACACAACATACATTTTGTATTAGCTACAATGAAGAGTCTAGAAATTTATTTCTTTAGCTTTGTCTCCCCCAGACCCTACTTTCTAAAGCAGCTCTCTCAATGAGGGATAACTCTGCCACCTAGGAACATCTGGCAATGACTGGAAACACTGTTGTCACAACTGGTGTAAAGGGAAGCGCTGCACTGCCATCTATGGAGTTCAGACCACGGGTGCCACTGAACATCACCCCGTACAGCGCAAGCCTTCACAAATCACAAAATATCAATGATGACACCAGGAAAGATGGTATTCCAAAATAATTACTGTATTCACATATGCATTAACCTTTTTTTTAGTGGAGAAATTTATTCAACTGTGTAAAACACCACTAATGTACTCTTTTTCAATAATTCTTTCAAAAATTACCTGCATCAAGTATCTCTTACCTGAAATGCTTGGGACAAGAAGTGTTTCAGATTTTTCAGTATTTAATTTTGGAATGTTTGCATGTATACAATGGGATTATTCTGGACATGGGACACAGGTCTAAACACAATTTTTATTTATTTATTTATTTTTGACAAGCAGAGTTAGAGAGAGAGAGAGAAAGGTCTTCCTTTTTTCCATTGGTTCACCCCCCAAATGGCTGCTGCAGCTGGCGCAATGCGCCGATCCGAAGCCAGGAGCCAGGTGCTTCTTCCTGGTCTCCCATGCGGGTGAGGGGGCCCAAACACTTGGGCCATCCTCCACTGCACTCCCGGGACACAGCAGAGAGCTGGACTGGAAGAGGAGCAACCGGAACAGAATTCAGCTCCCTAACCGGGACTAGAACCCAGGGTGCCGGCGCCATAGGCGGAGGATTAGCCTAGTGAGCCGCAGTGCTGACCTAAACACAATAAATGTTTCATATACATCTTCAGATATACATCATCTAGAAGTAATTTGTTTTTAAAGATTTATTTATTTATATGAAGTCAACAGTTACACAGAGAGGGAGAGACAGAAAAAGACATCTTCCATCTGCTGGCTTATCTCCTAAATGGCAGCAATGGCAAGAACTGGCCAGGCCAAAGCTGAAAACCAGGAGTTTCAGATCTCCCAGATGGGTAGCAGAAGGAAATGACTAAAACAGGAGCTCTGAGGTATGACAGAAAACCCATGAAAAATACAGACAGAAAAAGATAAGAAGATAGACTACAAAGAGTGTCTGAGTGCTTTCTTAAGTTTACTTAAATGAAAAGTTAACACCACTCTAGTAACATTTTTTACTTTTAAAACTTTATTTTCACTTTATTTGAAAGGCAAAGAGACAGAGATCTTTCATCTGCTAATTCATTCCCCAAAGGCACCCAAAAGGCTGGGGCTGGGCCAGGCTGAAGCCAGGAGCCTGGAATTCAATCTGGGTCTTCCACACAGGTGTCAGGGACCCAAGCCAAAATCTGCTGTCTTCTAAGATGTACGTTAGCAGGAAGCTGGAAGTTGAGGACTGGAGATTCCTAAACCAGGCACTCACATAGGATATGGCATCCCAAAGGATGACTTAAACTTTGCACAAAATGCCCACCCCAGCATCTTCTAGTTTCTAATCAAAATTGATCCCCTAGAATGTACCCTTACCTCTAACACATAGCACTTACACCTACTTTTTGTCTTGCTTACAAATAATGCTTTCATCTCCATTTTTGCCTTGCAAAAATCAGCATTTTCAGTGCAAACATTAAACACAATAACAAACATTATGCAAAGAATTTAAATTAAAAATTGAATTAGAATTTTACATTTTTTAGTATAAGAACTTCTCAAATCCTCTAAAATGAACAATTACTTTATAGAAAGTAAAAATGCCATTAATATTTTTTCATTTACAGTATTCAGTGAAAATATTGATAAAAAATAGTGTTATTTTTGGTTGTCATGGCTGGGATCTTTACCAAAAGGAGACAGAAATCCAGTATATGGCAATGACACAGTAGTAAAAGGGCCATTAAGATCATCTTAGAATTTAAAATTCATCTTGCTCCTCTAATTCCCAATGCATCTGCAAATGAGGATACACAGTGTACATATCATGTCACTAAACTCAGCCACAGAGTGTCTTATAGTCACACTTCATGTTCTTGCACTATGCATGCTTTATAAAGTTCCCTGTTTCACATTAAGACCAACAGAGACTAGTACTCACATGTAAGGGAAGCCACTATAAATAAAGTAATTGTGCTGTACCATAAAAGAGGCCTTTATAAAGCTAAAGTCAAAGCTCTTATCTGGAACAGCCTGTTTCAAATGAAATAAGTTGTCCTGACCTTGAAATTATACTTGGTCCAGGACTAATCTTCCATGAATTTGCTTTTATTTCTACCTTACTTTTGATGCTTATACATACTTTTAAAAATGAAAGTGTTCAGTCTTGATGATTCTGGCAGATCTTTCTAGAATTACCTTAAGTCCAATTTCAGCGTCTTTTTTTTTTTTTTTGGACAGGCAGAGTGGACAGTGAGAGAGAGAGAGAGAGAGACAGAGAGAAAGGTCTTCCTTTGCCGTTGGTTCACCCTCCAATGGCCGCCGCGGCTGGCACACCGCGCTGATCCAATGGCAGGAGCCAGGTACTTCTCCTGGTCTCCCATGGGGTGCAGGGCCCAAGCACTTGGGCCATCCTCCACTGCACTCCCAGGCCACAGCAGAGAGCTGGCCTGGAAGAGGGGCAACCGGGACAGAATCCGACGCCCTGACCGGAACTAGAACCCGGTGTGCCGGTGCCACAAGGCGGAGGATTAGCCTAGTGAGCCGCGGCGCCGGCCTAGAGTCTTATTATAATCATTAAAATGTCATTCCATTTTCACTGAAGTTAAAAAAGAAAAAACCTTAGGGGCTGGTACTGTGGCACAGCAGGTGAGGAATCCCATATGGGCACTGGTTCGAGTCCCAGCTGCTCCTCTTCTGATCCAGCTCTCTGTTATGGCCTGGGAAAGCAGCAGAGGATGTTCCAAGTGCTTGGGCCACTGTACCCGTATGAGAAACCCAGAAGAAGCTCCTGGCTCCTGGCTTCAGCCTGGCACAGCCCCAGTTGTTGCAGCCATTTGGGGGAGTGAACCAGCAGATGGAAGACTTGTCTGTCTGTACCTCTTTTTAACTCAGCCTTTCAAATAAATAAAATAAACCTAAAAAAATAAAACAGACAAAACAAAACTTCAAAAGTTAACAGAAGGGGCCAGCACTGTGTAGTGGGTAGAGCCACCACCAGCTGTGCCAGCATCCCATATGGGCACCAGTTCTAGTCCTGGCTGCTCTACTTCCGAGCCAGCTCCCTGTTAATGTGCCTAGAAAAGCAGCAGAAGATGGCCCAAGTCCTTGAGTCCCACACTCACATGGGAGAACCAAAAGAGGCTCTAAGCTCCTGGCTTCAGATCAGTGCAGCTTTGGCTGTTGTGACCATTTGGGGATGAACCAGTGGATGGAAGACCTCTCTCTCTGCCTCTCTAAATCTGCCTTTCAAACAAATAAATAAATCTTTTTTTTTTAAAAGTTAATTCAAAACTTTGGTAGTTTCCTTGAATGTTGCTCTAATATCACCAGGAGGTCTTTTCAAGACGCCATAATATCCCAAGGCAGTATTCGAGTAAAAATCTCTTCTTGCTGGATGATCAGTTTTCAACATTGCATACACTACCACGTCCCACTAAGGTTTCTTCTGCATAACAGAGAATTTATTAATTTTTTCACTGAAATGAATTTCAGATTTACAGAGAAACCATAAACCATGGGTGGGAAATATCCAGCCTGGGGCCATATGTTGCCCACAAAATCATTTGGTACAGCCCTTTGCAAAGGCACCAGCAGGCAAGACTCAAAATTCAACAAAGCTACACAGGCTAATTTTTTAAGGTAATAATTTTGTTTGGCTTGCAAATGATGTTATAAATATCCATATGGCCGTTGGCAGGAAAAAGGTTTGCCAAGCCTGCACAAAAAAACTTCCAATAAATGTCATACATAGTGACAGATCTATGTATTGGAAAATACCTAGCTATCCAGAAGGCAGTATGTCAGAAAGTTATCAATGATGAGTCTGAGTCATTTTTTCAGCTCTAAACTTTTTCAAATTTTCTATAATATGTTCAAATACATATTTATTGCTTGTATAGACTTATAAAAACCTAATTAGGATAAAATAACAATAATAATATTTGTTGAGCATGCTAGGTGCTTCACTTACTAATATCTCACTTAATAGAAACATGCTACAACAGGAGGCTACTCTCCTTATTTTAACATCAGATAAGAGAGCCAACAGATGGACTACCTTGCTGGAAATACCTTTTTCAATTAGAATTTTTACATATCTTTTTAGAAATAAGCAGGAGAACAAGACAAGTCATCAGTTGTGTAATTAGGAAGAGTCAAAAATATATGCCATTTGTTGGACTTAGCTGTATGACCACAAGCAAGTAATTCAATTTCAGTGAATCTTTGTTTCTCCTATAAAGCATGAATAATAAATCTTAATTCATTTACAGTTCTTACAAGGACTAAAAGACACCATGTATAAGAAGAGCATAGCATCATGTCTGGCAAATAACAATATATATCAGTATTTCCAACATCATTATAGTCAGCTGAAAAACCACTTTTAACATTTGTGGGTTTTTTCTACCTATAACCTGGGTATAAAAATACCTGTACCATGCAGCAATTTATGAGAATCACATGAGCTAATAATATACAGTACAATGCCTGGCATGTAACGTAGTTCTAATAATTCATTACTGTAGTTTCCCACAGGTCAAAACAACATGGGAGGGGCTGGTGTTGTGGTACAGGAGGTTAAGCTACACCTGCTATGCCAGCATTCCACA